GAAACTTTAAAAAATTGAGAAATTTATGTAATGAGAAGTTATTGCTCGAGTCTTAATGGATCGATGCATGTTATTATAGAAAAAGTATTAATCTGTATATATCGAAAAATTATTAATTTTATTAAATATATTTATAATTTTTCGATGTACATGTCCCGCTCACAAAGTTTAGGACACTTTTATTTTTAATATTCAGTACTTATCGTGTATACATATTTTATAATACAATATATTTTCAATATATAAAAATACAACAATATATTAATATGTTAATATATCTACAAGCTTTTTATTAACATATTTTATATTTATTGTAAATATAATATATTATTTATATTGCACATTATGTATATAATTTATACTTTTATATTGTTTAATTTATATTGTAAATATTATGTTATTGCATATGATTTATAATTTATATTCATTGTATTATTTTTATTATACAAATATAATAGTTGTTCTAATTGCTTCGATCAATGCATTTAAAAATTCTTGCTGCAGATAACAATGATGTAATATCAGGTGAAGCCTTTATACATGCATGTTCTATAGTAGTACATATGTACGTAAGTGCTACATGATTTGTCATATTATCATTCATGTATTAAATATTTAATTAATAGAATAATATTACTTTACGATAAATAATTAATTTGGTATGTGTATCAAAAATTATTCAATTTTGTTTCCATTCTATTTTCCATATAATAATTAATAATCCTGTTCACGTGATCTTCTCGATGTCTTGGAACCAATTAACCTTGATCCAAGTTGTCATCGTCTAGCATTTCTTCAACTCAATCAACTACGGCTTTTTTATCGTACCAATTATCTTCGTTAATTTACTACGTTGTAGTAAATTAACGAAGAACATTAGTTGAAGTTGTTTCTGCTTTACTAGTTTAATTAAAGTTATAACATATTTACGTATCATGAGTTGGTAATTCTAATAAGCAAACTCTGTTATAACTCCAATATATTCCTTTCCATTAATGTTCCTGTCTAATTCCATCCACATGGTATATTTATTCAGTGGTGCTCGATATTATATTCATTTGATTATATTCATTCATTGAAAACATAAATCCTTGAGAAAGAGCGTGTGCAACATTTTCAAAAGTGACACAAGAAATAAAAAAAAGACGGTGAAAACAATTTAAGCAAAATATCAAATTTACATATAAATTTTAAAAACTTGTAACCAAGGTTAATTTATTTCAGATGGTAAAACTTTTATAAACTTAAAGATTAATTTTGGCACTTGTACAGGGTGTCATCTTTATTTCGTCAAACAATCTTAGCATGTTTTATGACTGAAAATAAAAAAAAAAGATGTTGTATAAACACAGAGTCATAATTGCATTATTACAAAGTTGCAATACTGATTCTCCATGGACACCTTAGCAATTAACGTGGAAACTTTAGTTGGGGATTTAATAGCTTTACTTTAAAAGATTAATTTATAGTAAAATTTTATTTACATAAACTTGCTAAGGGACAAATACTTCCCTCACTAACCTTTTCTTCAGTAATTTTTTTTTTTTTTCGATGTAATAGAAGTTCAAATAAAGTAGAGTCAAGAGACAAAAGTTCATTTAAGCATATTTCTTTAACTTCAGCCTTTCTCAATTCTCCACTAGAGCAATTTTTTTTTTCTTCTTTATCTCACGTTATTTTTCGTTAGATTGTTGAAAAATCTCTCGATCGTCCGTCAACGCTTAACGTCTTCTTCTTTTTTTCAAGCCTGATCTAAGATCGCAGCGAGATCGTGAGCAGGCAGAACGATCGACGATTAGCGATCGTAAAGCTTGCGCTGCGTATAAAAGGAGCGTATCGATGCGTAACTGTCTGACAGTGCGCCGAGAACGTGTCTTGCGAGGAGTCGATCTCGCGTAACGGGTCACGTTCGATCGCGAGCCAGCCGATCCCACCTTCGACGCCCTATATAAGAGATGTCTCAGAGGGGACAGGATAGCAGTGCCACGTGCGAAAACGACATGTCCACGTCGAAAAATAACTCGCTGTTGCGCTTGAACCAGGAGAGTCGACGAGCCTCTGGCGACTGGCAGGATCAGGAGACCGACTCCGAGATCAGCGAGACCGATTTTCTCACCAAGGGTGCTTTCCTGTTGACGCCGAGCCACGAGCTCAGCATCGAGAAGGCCGCCACTATATGCGAGAAGATGAACTTTCGGTAAGATATACGCAGACTGTTCTCTGTTCGCCGGAATACTATGACTTTTATTAATCCCCTGTCTTACGATTTTCTTTTCAATCTTCTCAGATAATTCATTGTATTTGTAATTATTATTATTGTAACTTTAACTTTCTATTAAATGTAAAATATTGAACTATTTTTACAGTATTACGGGATTCTACAGGATTTTCTTTTAAATTAATAACTGTCCATTAATATCTGTAATGGTAGTGGTAATAATAATATCACGATAAATAATACTATGATGTTCGAAAGATTATTGCTTTATGTATTTTCTCACAATAGTGTTTTTAAATTGTTCTTAAATTGCTTTTTAACATTAAAATGTTATTAAAACATTATTTTAATATAATATTAAAATATTTATTGTAATTAATAAAAACATAAGTTTTATTTATTTAACACGCATGATTTTCTGCATAATAAGAAACTAAATAGTCAGAATAATGAAAAAATAATATTAATTTTATATAGAACATAATATAGCATAATTGAACACATAATGATAATGGTTCAAAGCTTTACTGTCCCAGATTTGTTTTGTCCAAAGATATTTTTACATCATGTAACGAGTGAGAAAAAGTAAGAGTACTATTTTAAAAAATTAT